CAGATCTAGTTAATGTCACGTTAATGGCATTTATATTCTCCACCATCTGAGGGTGCTGCCACTGCAGGAGACTGCTGAAGAAGCGATGCTTCTCTTCACATTCGCCACCATTTACCACTAAAGCCACCAATGATTTGTATTCCAAACTTTTTCACATTTCCAGCTCAAAAGAGCCCAAAGTACAAGTCCAGTTTGTTTCAGAACTTACCCAGGTGAACACTCCCTATGAGCTTAATGTAACAGGACTTGAATGAAGATCTCAAGGCTGTAACTTTTTTATGCAGAGTATCAATCACCAAACCAGCAAACACTTGAGGTGGAACTACAGCATGTGACACTACACAGAACAGAGGTGCAGGGGAATTTTGATTAAGGATGCGAGGTTAAGTTCTAAATTTTATAAGATTTCTGCAACATCTTTACTGTCTATATGTGGAGAGGATTCTGGGATGATTCAGCATGGAAGGGACCTCAGGAGTTCTCCAACCCAACCTCCTGACCAATGCAGGCTGCATTATGAATCAGACCTGGTAGCTCAGGGTTTCATCTAAACTGGTCTGGAAAACCTCCAAGGACTGAGGCTGCAGAGCCTCCACAATCAACCTGTTCCAGTTGACTGTAATCACCACAAGAAAGTTTTTCCTTAGAACCAGTCACACCTGAGGAATTTCCAGGATCTGCGCAGGAGCCCTGCCAATATTTACTGAACTCAACTTCAGAGGTGAAACAATCTGCTTCCTCGTGATTTCAAACCCAGGGCTCCAAAAAGTAGAAACATCTCCATTGAGATGACTGAACTCTGCAAATGATTCTTCATAGCAACATTCTGCATATCACCTGACTGACCATCCTTACTGCAGAGCTTTGAGACCTGATCTCCAGAAGAATACACTCAGAGACCGCCAGTTACAGAGCAATTTATGAGTTAACTATAAGTATTATAGTTATGAGTTAACTATAATAGTATGAGTTAACTATAAGTAATTATATTACTATTTCTTTAATTTTGCATTTAAAAAAAACAAGGTTTTTACTTTTTTTTTTTTTTAATTCACGGCTTCACTGACATGCAAAACCATTTTGGGTGTTAAGAGAAGCAGAAACGACAACCACTGCACAGCATTCGTGTAACTGAAAACTAAAGAAGCCTGTTTACATGTAGTTTAACACGCAAAAGAAACTCTGAACAGCTGAAATGCCTTATAAATAGCTCAGACCCAGAGGAAGTGCAAACGTCTGCATTGTGAATTGTAGATCTTAATTACAGACAATGGCTGGTACAGCAAGTAGCACGGAAAAAAAAAAAAAGTGAAACAGTTGCACTGTTCATGGTTGGCAATAATTCTTCAGGAAAATATTTACTATCAATCAGTTATGAGAAAAGGGACTCTGCGCTCATAAAACAGCACGTTGCTTCTCATACCAGGACCATTTTGCTTCAGCATAATCTGAATTTAAACAGCTTGTTTCCTGCGGATATAATTTTGGAAATAAATAAAACAAGTCTATCAAAATCTGGAGAATGTGTATGGTGGGGTGGGGGGAGCAGGAATATCACATTTCTTTCTCAGTCATTTGCAAAGAGGTTATTAGACCAAGGGGAAGCAAAAGCATAAAGATTGTCTTGACCTAAAAAAATATATACATAAAATATGAGAAACTTGCAGTTAAGATAAAAGTAGACATATTACTAAGAAAGATCATTGTTAGGTTGAAGCCTTTAGACACACCTCCAATGCCATTTTCTACTTGTGCTGTCTAAATACTGAGAATTAGTCATAGTTTGAAAGCACCTTTTGAACATTAAGCAATCCCAACAATGTCCCTGCAATACCCATCATTCACACAACCCTCTTTTTTGCAGAGTGATTACCTACAAGAGAAGGGTAAAATGACATGCTTAAACCTCTAGCAGCCAATGGCTAAGGCAGCACCTATATGGTTTGCAACAGTCTCAGAAACGTTGCCCCAGAGAAAGGTATATATCCAAGCCACAGGAGGGGATGCTGCTACCGAGGGATCTGGAGCTGGAAGCATGGCCATTGACAGCCCTCTGCATCACTACACAGAAGCTTAATACTAAACATTAAGCTATGGAATAACATATTTCCTAATCAGAACAGTGGAAGGAGTATCAGGAAACAAAATGTAGCTAGTCAAATAATATTTGTTCATAATGAAAATGCTCTAACTTCAATCTCAAGGACTGTAAAGGCTTCAAAAGCACTGGAAAACTGCATTATCTGAAGATATACTGACTCTGGTTTATCACAGCAGAACTCAGTTGGTTGCACTGTTCATGCAAAGTAAACACACGGACACTCTCACGGAAGAGGAGCCATCAATCTATGACATAAAGGGACTTGAGAGTACAGGAGGGACACTCGTCAGATCAATTTGTCCTACTGCCAACTGGAACATGCGGCCTGGAACCCTAAATGTTTGTTTATTAAAGAGTACTCATGGTTTGTCCTTTTAATTCACTGAAGGATTCTGAGCTCAATGTTATTATTGTACACACTACTTTTTAGTCTAAAAATTAGAAAGTAGCAATGCAGAAAGAACTGACAAAGGAAGGTCGATTTCAATTACCTGCTAGTTCCACCGCTCCTTGCTTGAGCTGAATCATCCTTGAATGTAAAATGCGTAGCTACAGCTAAATAATTCTATGCATCCTTGAAAGAAACTTTCTCATGGCATTCTTGAAGAACCAAGTCCTGTTCTGTGTTTCCAGAATTAAGCAGAACACAGCCCTGTCCTCCTGTATGCTGCACCAGCTTGCTGAGCAGGCAGGACATCACTACATGCTTAAGCAGGACTTCCCATCCAAAGGTCAAAAAAGCATCACCTAGTTAAATTTCACAGCATTTCTGCAAGGAGAGTATTACTCAGTTCCCTTTTTGAAGGGTAGCAAGAAAAGCCACCAAGGCCACAGAGAATAAAATCACAGTGCTAAAATCAAAGGGTAGAAAATGGTTCTAGATTCCTACTTCAATACTGTAACCACTGCAGCATGTACATTTAAAACTCTGATGAACAACACTCAAAGATTCCCTAGAAGGTACAACATGCCTTAAAGACTCTGCTTTAAAAACCCTTGGTTTGCCAAGACCTTAAGAAGCAGGACCAGTTATCACATGTGCAAGGGGTGGCCTGAAACAGAAATCTAATTTTTCAAGGATGGTGTGTGTGACTGTATTTATCTTTACCTAAATGAAACTGGAGGAAGAAAGAGGCAGAGAACCTCTCCCAGCTGCTGCTGAGTTCAGAACTTAGAAACGTGGGGATGCTGCATGCCATTTAGAAGGTGTCTTTATGCTGTCTCTGGCAAGTATGCCATAGGGTGCCTATCTCTGGCACAGGTAGGAAAGAATTCAATGTGCAAAATGAAACTGAAAACATTTCTTTATATAGCAGATACAGATGAACTGGAACTGACTGCAGGAGTTAATAAACAGTAAAGACCTACCTAATGAATGCAGGAAATGGGTATTGACTTTAGAACTCTGTGAGATCAGCTGTACACCAGTCTCTCGCTGGGAAACAAAAGAGCACTTTGAATTGAAAGGGTATTTCCATGATCCTGGAAAATGCAAAATTTAACAGACTCCGAGCAAACAGCAAAACTCTAACATAATGCAGCCCACATTATCAAAGTGTGAAAAGGCAAGACCTCTGTTTGAAAACAGTAACACATATAATCCATCCAAGCAAAGACACAGCTAAGGAGACTGGAGACACACCACAGCATCCCTCACCACACAGCAAATAGAAAGTGTGAAGGTCACCACAGAAAGCAAGTAGTCCTGGGTGCAGAACAGAAGAGAAACTTGTTTGCACACAGGAGCATCACAAGAATCCTAGTGACATACCAGATGCCAGGGGATTTTTAACTGTGCCCCTCTCTAATTGAGGATGAAGCACACACCAATACCATTATCTGGCCTGAAGATACTGGCTTACAAAATATGGAACAAACAATAGGAACAGATGCTCATTTGGCCAGATTTCAATAAGCCTCATTAAAGTCAAACACCCTGTCCTTGGAGCTCAGGTTCATGCTGCATTTCTACCTTATTTAAGCACCTAACACCAATTCCTGAGAAAGCTGTCCACTGGTGGTTGCACACCAGTAGTAGCACAAAAAGAAATCAATCTCCTGCAGACATTTTTTGGTTTCTATAAGAGACAAACAGCAGCAGTTGGCAAAAAAGAGGCCAAAAGATTAACAGAAAAACTCCTGAGGATGGAAGAGAAATTGATGTTACAGATCATACAGGTGACATCTGTGCATTATAATATATAATTTTTAATTTAAGATCCCACTTCTTCAGTTGAAATGTGCATACTTGAAACTATTCCTACTGTTCCTTATTTGCTTCTATACAAATATGCACAGGTCCCATTGATGGAGTTTCAGAGGACAAATACCAGAAAAGCAGGGCTAGGGACAATATAAAAAGATTTATCAGAACACGATATTCTAGTTTTGTTTTTAAATGTTTTAATAAAACTAGATAATGCACAAGTTTGCAAAGGCACTGTACACCAGCCTGCACAGGCAATCATAGAGATATATCATACAGAAATGGTATCATAGAGAATGGTATCTATAATCATATAGATGGTATCATATAAAAAAAACAGGCAAAGTTTTCTAACAAACACAGACTTCCTTGAGTGATCAAAAAGACAGTAACTTTCTGTACTTGAAAATGCATATCTGCTTATTGTAAACTTCTTTTCCCTCCATTTTAGAAAGAATGCCAGTTGTTAGGCTGGTAATTTACATCTGGGTGTCCTGTACAGAAACATTCGTTCATAAGAGAGCTTGATGGATGGACAGTGCTTCAGCCTGAAAAAAAGATATCTCAATATTGATGTGCGTGGCCTCAAGGGAAACTGCATTTCATTCTTTGAACAAACTTTAGAGACATGAAGCACACAATCAGTAAATGACATTAACACAGCCATAACAGAGTACAGTTTTCTTTTGTGCAAGTAGGTGCAGAATTAGAAATTCTGTTTTCAGGAAAACCATTGTCTCCTGCAGACTGACTGACATACCTGTCACACATGTGATAATGCTGACTGCGGCTCCCAGTCAGGGCTGATGCCGCACTGCAGGATCATGTAAGGTGTATCATTAGTTCCAAAGTAAACCTTTTTTGTCTTTTACTGCCAGTTAAAAATATAAAAAAAAAAAGAAAAATAAAATAAAATTAAAACCCTACAACACTTTTGGAAAAGTGCTGCAGATAAAGAAGCCCTCAGTTATCCTTTCCAGTGTTCACTCTCTTGACAAAACATGTTAAAGTCCAAGGCTGTAAGACACATCAATCATGGAGGATAAAACTCACCATGTGCATAAGGCTAAGAGAAGGCCTCTGAACTCCTTAAATCCCATTTAAGCCCTTCACCTAGGGAACATTTAACAGTTGTGCCATTTGCCTGTGCCATTACTGAGCCATTTGCATTTAGCTAACTGGATTTATAAATGCTTCAACACTTTGGAATTCGAAAGACAAGCTTTCTTAGAACCTATTTCATTTTGGTTTGTAGCTGGGAATGCAAAGGAAAAGAGTACAATATCGAGGCATGCTAGTACCAGAGGAATTATATCCCCAGAAAAGTCCATACGCTTTTTCATGCATACATATGTGTGTGTGCATATATGCATGCATACATGTGTGTATATATATGTTTTTTCATATATATAGATGATGGCAGATTGTCCTACAGTATATATATAGATATTGTTCTACAGCATACAGATACAATACTTGAAAACATATACTTTTTAATCTCCAGGTTGATGATTCAGATTCATCCTTAGTAACATGAAACAAATCTTGCTGTTCCTGCCTTGAGTCCTACCCATACCTTTTACCATGATCCCATCAAAAGCATTATTTTAAGAGAGTTTATTATTTAGGGCATTAGGATATTAAAGATATGTCAATTCATTTAGAAGAGGCATCACTTACATTAAGTGTAGCTCTTGCACATTTTTGTTCCTTTATAAGATGATCAGGTCAATCAAGATGCTATAAAGCAGATGGAGTCGAATGGGTTTACTATAGTTAGCTTGCTGTGAGCTGCTTCATGGCATCAGAATGATGCTGTATGACAATATAATTCAGTCAGAGCTGCTCTGATGCCTTGTTTAAAGAATTTCACCTACTTTGTATCATAAAGCACCTTAGAAAGCAGTGTGCAATAGCAGTCAACTTAAGAATGGAGGTGTTGGTATTAAATATTAGCCCTCTGTACCAAGATCCGTAGCTTCTCTCAAAAGTGCTTCTCCAGTGGAAGGTAACCTGGCATGTCAAGCACAGTTTATGAGCACTAAACCACCTGCAAGCACCATGACAAACTTTTATGATAGCCAATTCCCTGACAGGAATCAAAGTAATGGGACATCCAAATTTTACCAGCAAAATCCCAGCAAAGATTTAGCTGGGAAATTATCTTAAAGGTCAATACAAAAGTGGCCCCTGAAGGGACAAAGCACCTTTAACAAACAAAGTATGAAAAAAAGGACTTCAAGAAGATCAAGGAATAAATAACTGAAAGAGAAAACAGGCTTTTGAGTGGTCAGGTTTGTGGTGACAGAGGAGCAACAAAATGCCAGCTGGTTTGGGTAACAGATGGCTGCGTGCACTGATCTGTCCTGCATGCCCATTCTGAACTTCCTTTCAGTGAAAATACGAAGCTTACACAAGGATAAACACATCCTTCACACAGCCTTTCTATACATATTGCATCACTCTTCATATGCTTTCCATTCACAAACAGCCCTGCACGTATGCTGTTTTACTCTACTTACACTGACTTTTAAGAAAAGAGGGTTGCTAATGGCACCTCATCTTTTCCAACTACATCTACTACAATTCTCAAGGAATGACTTTTCTCTCATGGGCTAATGTATACTTTTCTTACCATTCCGATTGCTGTATCTCCCTCCTCCCTTTCCCTTAAACACAGCATTCACGGTATTTTAATTGAAAGGTCTTTCTTTTTGCACCTCTCCTCCAGTAGCTAAGAAATCTTCATGATATGAAGAGCTCTCATGCAGTATTTTTAGCATGTATCTGGACATTTATTATTTGAAGATGCCACAGCTAATTACATGGCAGGCATAGGCCATCCCCCTGGAAAAGCCTATTACTTGTATAGCAGAATGAACCCTTCAATCCTAGGTAGCTCAAGACTCAAGTAATCATTTCCAATAGAGAAAATCAGCAAGTCTGAAATCTCTACACAGGACAGAAAAGCGTACCCAAAATACCGGCTTTCTGTTTAAATATGTTTTTTCAACTCTGATTTTTAACAAGAACTTTCATTAACAGTGAACAATCTGCAAAAAAACCCTCAAAACCAAAGCTAGTCTCTTACTTACTTTGGCCACACAATTTTCAGTCTTCATAGCAGTGCTTCCTAGACATACAGTTTCCTGGTTTAAGCACAGTCTGGCACAGCTGTTGTAGGTCTGCAGAAAGATTAAAATGGTTACGAACAGAAGAACACAATTTTCTTTCAGGCACCACATTTTTGGCACAGGAACCCACAACAACTCTACTACATTTCCTTTTTCCTAAGGTGTAAATGTTTCGAACCAAAATAAACTAGCTTACAGCAAAAGCCTATGTTCAGGGCATGCATGTCCTCTGAGAAGCTATGCAGAATTTTATAGTTCTGAGATACAAAGATTTTTATCCTTTTTCCCTTTGAAAAAGGGAAAAAAAAAGAAAAGAAAAAAAAAGAATACCTGATACAAGTTGCTTGGTCTTTCACAAAATGCTGCATAACTGACCAACCAAAGCAAGGTGATTTCTACACACCAGTTGTCACAGCAGTACGAAGGTTATAATCGCTTCTCATCTCACTTCTTGTATTTAATCTTTCCAATTTTGGAAAGCTTCTTCTTTTAAAGTAGAATGTCTTTTTAACTTTACCTCATACACTGTCCTGCCCAGGAGACGTTGGAGTCTCTGCAGAACGGTACTCTTAAGTCTCTCACTTTTTTAAGGGCACAATACGTACAATACTTATGAGCTATGTTAAAATTATACTTTGGGTGATTTGGCTATTTTAACTAAGATGCCTGAAGAACTCAGGGACTTCTAATGGAGGCCTCCTCTCCCCCCAGTTCCAACACCTTTTCAATTACTACTTGATTAAGTCCACATTTTCTAGTAGTAGGAGTAGTATAGTAGCACCTAAGAGTTCCAGTACTGGGTTAATACCCCAGTGCCTGTTGCCATTTACAGAAAATGGCTCCCAAGCAAACATGGCAGCCCAAAAGCAAGCACAAACCTGCTTTCTTGCAAGAGTAGTAAGTGGACCACAGAGAAGATGTTGCTACCTCAAATAGTTGTGTGGGGGAAACATAAGAAGCATGTTGAAAGAGAATGAAATTAAATTTGCTACAAAGACATTTCCAAGAGCACTAAGTAAAACATACTAACATTCATGGTATTTTTAAAATGGCCTTAAGGTGAGGCCACACCAAGATTTATAGTGAACTGCCTGTCAGTTCTCTCCCTGTAAGTTCTCTCCCTGTAATATTCACTGGCAACTGTGCTGGTGAATATTGCAGGGAAGATCCTTCTTTCAGAGCTTGCAACAGATTTCTGTTTGCTTGACTTAAAACTAATTCAACCCCAAGACTGCTACAGGTTATAAAACCTACAGGCAGTGCTGGCATACTAAGGGCTCCTAAACCTCTCCCTCTGCTCCAAACCTACGTCAGAGTCAGATTCCCTCAGTGACAAGCATCAACAAATTATCTCCCTTTTTTGCCCCTCTACCAGAGGCCCAACTCTGCAAAAGATGTAGTCACTAACAACACACAAACCAGAAGAAGAACACATTGCAAAGGACATCAGAGGAAGAATGCAAAGAGATTAAAAGAGGGTTATGCTGAGAGTGATAGGAGATACATCCACAAGCCCAGCATTCCTCCTCAGGAGGACAGTAAGGACCAGGTGATGGGAACCAAGTGCTCCCAGTCAGTTTATAACATTATTCACCCACATTCCTATGATCCTCATTAAACACTCCTTACTGCCTACCACGGGAAATCAAGTATACTGGCTCAGGTGGATCTGTACTGGCCAAGCACAGTACAGACGCTCTTTAGGAAATCCACAGTCCTTTCCACCTTACTTCTTTACAGACCCCCTTTAAAGCTCACCGGGAGACAGAAACAAAAAGGAGCACAGAAGCCCTATGTTCTCCATTGCTTTAGCAGTTCATGTTTTATTTCTCAGTGAGATCTCTAACCAGAAAACAACCAGTGACAGACAGGAATGTAGAATATCCTGGCTCCAGCAGATTTCCTTGCAAGTCATAACACTGATATCTGCTGTGACTAGCAGCCAGCTAGCAACTTCTGACTCTGGATCCACAAGGAGAAACTGAAAAATTCAAACACGAATCCCTTCAAAGTGCTGTGCAGATGAACAGAGTGCATCTTTCAGCAGGGGAGGCTCAGATTCAAACTGGGATTAGGCCACAAGCAAACAGAAGTCTGACAGACTTGACTAAGCCTCTTGCAAATATTTGCCAACATCATAAAACCATCACTCTGGTATGCACAGAACTTTCTCCTCAGAAGAAAGATCAGAATGGCATAAACTATCACACATTGTGGCTTACATGTAGTGGCCCAACTGGTGGACAGAAAGTTGACACTACCTGCTTTGCACTGACGTTCAGACAATACCATGCAAACTTCATTTTGTAAGCATCATCTCAGCTAAATTCAGCCAGATTCTGAAGGTGAGAAACCATGGAGAATTGATAAGACTCTTTGTTCAGTATTTACATTTGTGTAACTTAACCCATTTATTGTAAACCTGTGATTTCTTTCATTTACAATTCCTAAAATTCCAGTAGCAGTATTTCTGCACAATTTATCTGCTACATACTGTAAATTTTATGAGGAGTTCTGACTCGAAGAAAGCTACTACAAACTCCACTTTGCAGATGAAAAGCTAACCACTAAAACATTTACTGAAAGCAACAAGGAAGCCTGTGGCTCCATGAACTGAACCATGAACTGAAGTCAGATCTTGTCAGTCTGTTTCCTCCCAAGAGAGGTATGCACAAGCCTTGGTAGCAAGCCAGCTTTTAAAAGCCTGGCTTACATCAGGCTTTCTCTCACATTTACAAATGTGAAAGAGCAGACAACCGAAATACACCATGTGAAAAACTGAATGCTAAATCTAAAACTCCTAGAACTTTCTGAGAAGGAAGAAAGCTCACCATGCACTATTCAAAGGAAAAAAGCTCACTCAGTACTCTTCAAAAGTTGTGTGTGCGCCAGCATGTAGATACAAATAATTATTTCAGTGTATTGCTCAATTTGTATTACTTTCATCCACATATTACATGTCAGTGTGAACAGCACCAACTGAACTTCTGGTATAACTTGTCATCAAATCCCACAATACCAGGACTAGTGACACTTGATGGAACTAGTATGGTAATAATTTAAAGCAGATAAATTAAACACTTCACACAGCCGGCAGTGATTCTGGAGCCTGCTGTCCCAGGACACTATGGAGAGAAACAGCATCAGCAAGTGGAAAAAGAGATCAAACTAATTTATGGACAGCAGGTCCATAGAGTACATGACAGAGATATTCCCCAGACATCCCTGATGTAACCATGGTAGATACTGCAGGAGCAGTGAATAGAGCACAGGGAACAGCCAGACCCATTTGCTGCCATTCAGCAGCATCTTCCACTGACAGTGCTGGAGCCAGCAATGGATGAGGAGACTCTGGGTCTGGTAGACCTGGGCATTCTCATGCTATCAACACCTCTCTACCCTTTGACAACATGCCAACAATACTTAAATTCCTCCTTCACAACCTTTTCAGCCCCAGAAAGGATAGAAGAACATGCTTTTACTGCGAGAATCAACTTTTACACGTAATTTTCTTACCTAAAGATCTATGTAAGTGCCAAATTACCAGACAACCATTTAGTCCTCCAGCTCAGTATAAAGTAGTGAGGAAAAAAAAAGAAAATTAAAAGTTGCATGTATAATGGCTTCAACCCATCAGGATGAAGATTTGAGAATAAAACATACAGTGATCTTCAGTTTAATGTCCATTACTGTGTTTGCAAAGTTACAAAGTTCTTCTGTTCTTCTTCACATTCTCACAAAAGAATGCATTATTAGCCTTGTGGGATGAATAAAAAAAGTAAGGAAGATTCACGTACATGTTCTACCATATGTTTAAAAAGGTTTAAAGCAAAAATGCAGAAGAAAACCTATTTCTCCTTAAAAAAAGAGGTAATGTCACTCTACTTAAGAGGTCTCAATGGAAATGTATTGATAATGTTGCAAAGAAGCTGCATCTGGCTCAGGAAGTCAAGTCATAAGAAGCTGCAAGAATATATTGTGACGGTTATACTAAATGGTTGCCTTCTAATGTTCCTCTGTAGGCAGCAGTTACTGTCTACTGTGAGACACAAGATTACTGCTGGACATGGAGTTTTGATTTAATCTGATACTGTGTTCATACTAACAGTTACTAGTGAATAGACCTAACTGAAAGCAGAATGAATGTCTTATCATCAAGCAATAATGCAGAGCCTTTCATATTAGATAAAACATTTGATGGTGTCTCATGCTACACTGACACATCAGAGCACCTCCTTTCATTCATTCCAATGCCTATGGGCACATCGACTTAAGAAAAACCATGAAAAGCAAAACCAGAGCCAAACCTCAGAAAAGCAAATTTCTCAAGCTCACCTTTAAAGCTCAACCCTTTTATGAATCTCATCTAATTTGCACCAAAACTGTTGAAGTTTCTTATCACCTTTCAACAAGATAAGAGGTTTCTTCACCAAGGAAAAGCACTCTGAAATGGTAGCCTGGTTCAACACCACAGGCAGATAGCTTTGTGTTGGAGTGCTTTAATATGTTTTTATATTGCATATAAAGCATGCAAACGTAAGCCAGTTTGTTGAAAACTACCTTCTTTGCGGAAGCGGGCTGTAATTCTGAACAAGTTTTCAATTTTCACACTGCTGCTAGGTAAAACATTTTAAAGAGTTTAATTTTTACAGTGGCTTCAATGACACAAGATTATCTAACAAAGTAATGGCTAATCAATAGAGGGTTTAGTTGTCAGGTGAAACACATAACACACTAAAAGGGATTGATTGCAAGGCTCCTCCTTATTTACTGGGAGGTATATATTTAAAATGACACAAACTTGTTACCAAGCTGCATTCCTTTAACCTTGCAAAAGCCGTTTGAGAACAGTGTTAAGCAGCCCTATAGCAAAACAAGCTCTAATGAAAAAAAAGAAACCTACAAATATATGGGAGCACCAAATCATGTCAGAAGCAGGGGAACCACTAAGCTGCATTCACTCAGCCAAAGGTTTAAAAAGCCACGGAGACACTAGACTATGGTTCACTAAAGATAGAGCTGTATCTGATCTCATTCCCTAAGTGTCTTTG